CCAGCGGGTAACGGGAGCGGCGCAGGGGCTTTTACCGCCGTCAGCGGAAGGCCTTCGTGTCGCCAGGAGACGTGGCTGCGCCCAGCGAGGGGGCTGCGACGTGCGGGCAGTCTGAGGAGAGTGGTTGCGGCTCACTGGCGTTTCGGCGGGAAGCCGCGTCCCCACCGGGGCTGCAGCGCGGGATCCGCGCCCAGCGTTTTGCAGCGTTTGTGTCAAATGAGCAGCGTTAAAGGTCGCGTTTGTTGTAACGAAAGCAGGACCCGCGGCCTGTGGTGCTCTGTGCTCACGCAAGGCTTCAGAAAAAGTGGGAACGCTTTGCAGAACGGCCATTGCACATCATCAGTCTGTCAGCCAACATGGCAAAGTGGGCTAAAGCCATCGGCCAGAGGAGTGATGGGCAGTGTGTCCCAAAAATGCGTTGCCGTACACAAGATAAATGCAGGCTTCTCTGCCTGAAAACTTACTACGGTACAAAATCTATGTGGCACATATTAAATAGATTAAAAGCTAGCAGGTGTGTAGATATAAGCAATTCATTGTAAACAGAATGAAGTAAATTGAGCAAAGGGACACTTTTTTCATCAAGCGTTCCTTGACACACCAATGTTTGGGAATAAAATACAGAATTATTGCTGTTAAAAGCAGTGAATTGGGAAGGAGAGATAACATGGTAAGGGTTATCTAGATCATACTGTGCACAATAATCTTTTTATCTCTTTATCTGAAGAAATGAGGCTTAAGTAATTGCAGCGTTGGGTGTTTCCTTTTCCATTCATCCCTTTCACCTCCAAGGGCTTTTGAACATGCTGGCCTACTTAATCATATTGGCAAAGGTGGGCAAAGGTTAAATTCCTACAACTGGGTAAAAAATAAGCAGTTAACACATGAGAGAAGAAGGGGAAGGCAAAGCACAGGCGTTGTGCAGCTGCCAGGCTGCACAGGGTCGTATTTACCGCTTGGCCAGTAAGCGCAGCTCTGGCTTTGGGCTTGTGCGTTCCTTGTGCAGCGAGCATATCGCAGTGTACGAGAGAGGCAGTGAGACCCGGCATTACTGCTGTAGGTAGAATTCTGTACCAAAAACACAAACCCTCAAGAAACAAATTTCAGTCGAGTTTGTTGCTTATAGAGGAGCTTGTTAATACGAGCAGTTCCAAGGTCATATTTCTAGGTCTTAAGTATGAAGTCCTACAGAATTGGGGTTATTCTGCCAGGATTTTCATGCCTGAGTAATAATAACTTCTGCTGGAAGTTATCACTCCCATCCAGTAGAAGTAACAAGAAAGAACATATCTGTTGCTCATCTTCCAGGGCTTCAGATTATAATTTCATGGTCATCTGAGTTAATATTAAATTTATGAACTAGAGTATCTCCAGAGCAGATAAGCTGCCAATTTTGCTGACTCTGCTTCGTGGGCAATAACCTCTTCTAGGAGAGAGGGGCAGAGAGTGAGGGACACTGAGCTGCATCCAGCATGAATTGCCAGAGCATGGGAAGGAAGAGAGACAGCCGGTTCGTGGCAGCGAAGCACAATACTGCAAGAGAAAGTGCCTCCTGGTGGGATTAAAATACTGAATTTTTCATGGACAAGGGAAAACTTCGTCATTTCCTACAAGAATTTACCCAGAGAGATGATTTGTGAGTGTAGATTCTGCATTAATGTAACAGAAAAAACAGATGGCATGAATTGCAATGTCTGGAAGGTAAAGCTTCAGGCCAGAGCTAAGGTCTGACTCTCAAGGCTATCAAACCATTGGAACGATTTCCCTGGAGGTGTGTTAGCTTAGCCATCGCATGAAGTATTTAAATCAAGACTAAGAACATAAATTAAAAATGGCTTTGCTGAGTCAGATCAGAGGCTCTTCTGGCCCAATGTTGAGTCTCTAGAAGCGGCCAGTGAGGAAAGGGAGCTTGGCAGGGGATGAGATGGGGCTCCCAGCAGTTGCTGGACTCATTTCCATTCCCTCTGGGATATTGTGACAGGTCATCTCTTTTGGAGAACATCAGTGAACAGAATCCACATTATCTTCCTGAAGTTGATAAGTCCTAACCTGGTATGCCCTTGGAGAAAAGTCATTCCAAAACTTGGTATCCATCTTTATATCTTTTTAACTTACAATGTTAAATGTAAAATATGTGTTTTAAGCAGAAGTTATAGTCTTCGTGCAAAAAATCAGTGACAATTTCTGCTCTGTGTACAAGATCACATCAGTGATGCCTCTGATTTCTGTTAGTCCCAAAATTGCTGGGCAAAGTTGATAATAAAAAACCCCTCATTGACTTCCATGGATTATTGCATTCTAATCCTGAACCCAAAGCAATGGTTTGATTCTGATTAACATGCTGGTGCCCTATGAGCATCTCCATGTTTCATAGAGGTTAGGAAGAGAAATGAGGACAAAAAGCATCAGAGAAGTAAAAGAAGTACAGCAATTGCTGTGTGTCCACCATACCAAGCCCAACATTGTGCATCTGTTTCTGAGTAAATCTGGCTTTCCTGGAGACTCGCCTGCAGGCATCAAACCAACTGGTTATTTCCTTATTACATTTACAGGAGAAATCCATCATCATCAGTTTACTCAATGATAAGATTTTGTCTTAGCAAAATCAGCTGAGTACCAGTGCATCAATGTAAGCATGACACTATATAAATAAATACATAAATAATAAAGATGTATATATTCACTGAGGCATGGAGATCCTTTAAGAGAAAAAGAAGAACAAGCATATTCCTCAGAAATGTGAGTCAATAGATTATTATAATGTTGGTTTTTAAAATTATTTTTTTTTAAAGAGAAAAAAGTGATATGGTTGTATTTGCAGCAGTGTTTTTGCAGTTGTATTTGCAGCATATTTCCACTGAAGATTAGGAGAATTGATGACCTTTGATGATGTAACAAAGTACTTAGGGAGAAGCAGCTGGAGGGATAATAAGAGCAAACAGAAGTTGAAGAGATTTCTTCAGTGCACAGGAAGTATGTCTTAATCCTTTTGGTTGTTGATGTGACTGAATCCTGCGTGCAGGGCAGTTTTGTTCATGAAGAGGACTTTAAAACAGATATCATCGCACCAAAATGTTGTTGCCAGGGCAGAGGCGGAAAAAGATCGGACTAATGTTACTCCTACGTGTGATACAAGATGACCCGAGAATTTGAGAATGTATGTGCTCAGTGGTTTACCTGCACATTCCTGATACATACTTCGGCCATTAGAGAAATATGTGCCCTTTTAAAACAAAAAGATACTGGTTTAAAACATGTTGCTTGCCAATGCTTGCGATGTTTTAGGAAGGTGTAGCATGGCAATGAGCATTACGGAAACCTAAGGCATTGCAAGTATGAAAGTGGCAGGAAGGTTTTTTTCTTCCTTTACTGAAATATATTGTAATTCTGCCCGGTTATCACCAGGTGGCAATAGCATGGTCTTAAAAATCTTTTTTTTTCTGAAATGGGGCACACTTATACATAAGGAAGTGATGTATCCCTGTGCTGCAACCATTCCGGGAAGCAGTTAGATTACAGTCCCCAGCAAGGTTTAGATTTCCGTCTAACTTTTTTTGTGTACAGAGCTGTAGCCAGTGTTGAACATACTAAACGTTAAGATTCCAGTTTTACATTTGTAACGTTTAACTCTGCTTTTTTTTCTTTTTTTTTTTAAAGAATTTGGGTCATGATGAAGAGCTTCTTTTTGTCTCTCTCACTTGTCTCTGTTCTGAACAGCTTCTCAGAAGTGCAGGGAGGGAGATGGAAAGGTGAAGGTACAACACAAAACCTGGAAAGTATTGTCATTGGAAGATGCTATGAGTATATTAGGATTGTGAATCCTTCTGTTGGGTAAGTTTTGCTTGTTTCTGGATTAGTTTTTTATGTTCAGTTTTTTATGTTCTGATTAATAAGTGATTATTAATCAGAAGCCTGAGGTTTTGTTCCTAGCCATGAAAGTGATCCTCTTGAAGCCAACATGTTTGTACCTGTCTGGAGACAAAAAAAAAAAAAGGGTTTTGATGGATGTCATATTAATAAGTAGTGTAATTAAGATTTTTAATCCTTCAACTTTTTATATCACATTTCTCCCCACTAGTGCCACAGTGTTCTCTAAGGAGAACACCACCCAGAAATGGTGGGGGTGGTATTTATGAAGTACTAAATCTGACAGTGCTCCTGGAAAGACAAGCTTTACTTTGTGTGCCTTGTCTGTCAGGTCACGTAGGAAAGAAAGTACCACGCTTTATAGCTTATCCTTTGCTACTGGAAGAGACTGTTTAGCTCATCCATTTGAAAAAATAAAGTGGTAATCAACTGCTGAAGTATGATTACCCATGAGCTTTCATTGTCTGTGTTAATCACACTTTTTGCCAAAATGGACTTTTTTTCTGTCTTCCTTATATGGTATGGGGTTCAGTAAAAAGGAAAAACTAAGAATGACAGTCTCCTGGAGTTCAGTCCTTTATTCTGCCACTAAAATTTTTCCTCATAGTTTGAACAGGTATTTGCAGAGGGGTGCTGGCTGAGTTCCTGCAGCATTGAATCATGGTCTGAAACGTAGTATCTATCAGTAAATATCATCTCCCTACCTCAAACCTCACATTTTTCAGTTCCTGCTGCGAAAGAGGAAGATAAAGAAAACGACATGTTTCTTCCTAATAACATTTTTAAATGATCAGAAGTGGTTTAGTTCAAGTTCCCCATGAAAGGAAAAATCATTCTGATGCCAGTAACCTGGCACTAAAATTTCATCTGAACAATTGGAGTTTGGCAAGTTTATAAACACATCACAATAGAAAGTGACAGGAAGCTGTAACTAAAGTTTTCTACACATCTGCAATATGATGTATAATATAAACTGCAAAAACTTAGGTCAGGTAACAGTTGTGTAGCTGTATGAAGTAGGTCTTGCAGTAGGCTCTAGATAGGTAGAGTTTCTCTTGGAGTTAACAGATTATCACATAATTTATATCTGAATCAGGACATGACTGATAACACAGAATGCACTTATATGAGCAACATAAAGGATTGTTATCGTGGAAATGCTAACTTTGTCATTAACAGATTTGGGCTTTTAGAAATGTAAAAACAATACTCTTGAAAGTATTTCTGTGTGTCTCATGGTTATGACAGTTTTGCAGTCTAATTAATTCCTGAGACATTTCCAGAATACAATTTTAAAATTGAGAAGTCTGAACACATTCGTCAAAGTATTCTTGCTCAGAATAGCATGAAGCCAGGTGGGTCATTAGGACTGCTTTCCTGAATTCAGACCCAAAATGACATTATAAAAAGAAGAGCTGCACAATTTATTTCATATTATGTGTATTT